GCGTCTGAGCCCACGGGGTCCTGAGTCGCTCCTGACACAGATGTGAGCCGCTACTTTATCGGCCACGATTTATGGACACGCTGCACAAACGGAAAGCTGTCGGGAGGCCTGACTGATTGTTGAGTTTTAGCTCCGACAAAACAGTGCTATCATCAAAGTGAAAGTGACACCGAGATGGACGAGGGTGCTTTCACGACACCTTCGCTTCTAAACGCCACTTTTTTCTTTATACCTGCGTTCCCGGCTTTGTCATTTGCCAAAAGTCCAAGACCGGTCCGGGATAATGATGCCTCCCAGACCCGCTTCACAAGTGGCAGGTTTAGCATTTGCCGCTAACGGAGCCGGAGTTAATCGTGTTTGACTTGAGGCGCCGCTGTTTGACGGACGAAGGAACCGCTGTGTTGGGAAAGTGTGTCTTCATGAGTGGGAACAAACTCAGATGTGTGATTGAGAAACAGACGGATGCAGAGAGAGAGATGACAGATTAGGGCCCTTTAATGATGACAGATTAGGGCCCTTTAATGATGACAGATTAGGGCCCTTTAAAGATGACAGATTAGGGCCCTTCAATGATGACAGATTAGGGCCTTTTAATGATGACAGATTAGGGCCCTTTAATGATGACAGATTAGGGCCCTTTAATGATGACAGATTAGGGCCTTTAATGATGACAGATTAGGGCCCTTTAATGATGACAGATTAGGGCCCTTTAATGATGACAGATTAGGGCCTTTAATGATGACAGATTAGGGCCCTTTAATGATGACAGATTAGGGCCCTTTAATGATGACAGATTAGGGCCCTTTAATGATGACAGATTAGGGCCCTTTAATGATGACGGATTAGGGCCCTTTAATGATGACAGATTAGGGCCCTTTAATGATGACAGATTAGGGCCCTTTAATGATGACAGATAAGGGCCTTTAATGATGACGGACGAAGGAACCGCTGTGTTGGGAAAGTGTGTCTTCATGAGTGGGAACAAACTCAGATGTGTGATTGAGAAACAGACGGATGCAGAGAGAGGTCCGATACATTAAGGGTTTTTAGTTAAAGCAGAGAAAAGTACATGTTTTTATTAATTATTATTATTCATTTTTCAAGTACAAGTGAAACTATTCTTTAAAAATCATCATAAAGTCCATTTACTTCCTGTAATTCAGCTTCAAAATGTAAAACTCATGCATGAGATATATCCTTTTTAATTTGTTTATTTTCAGGCAATTAAGTGGGTATAGAATTATCAGTACAAATGAATCACGAGCAACTTAGGTACATTTACAAATTATAACAAAAAGAGTATGCATCCATCCTTCCATTTTCTTCCCCTTAATCCATTTCTGGGTCAGGGGGGTGGCAGTCAGAGATGCCACCCACGTCTCATAGCACCAGCCCCTCACTGACCCTCTGCAGGTGCTGAGTCCACAGGAGGCTGCTCTGTCAGTGTGAGCCTAGCCTTGGTCTTTCAGAGGGGGCTTCAGGCAGAGTGGGGTTAAGTGTCTTGCCCAGGGACACAATGACAGCAGACATGAGTGGGAGTCGGTGGAGAAGGCTCGAGCCCACAACCTTCAGGCTCAAAGGCCAATGCTCTACCAACTGAGCTACTGTCGCCCCACAAAAGAGTAATGATAACAAAAGGAGTAATAATACTGACAAAGCACTAAAGATTTAACAATATTATGACATCAAAAAGGATCAACAGGAAGTCTAAGTTTAAAAGTCTAAATCGTTGGTGAATATTTGAACAATATTTACATTTTGACTTCCGCTGTTGGAGTAAATACTTTATATAAATATAGTTTGGTTTCAGAATATTGGATTCCTGCTGTAAAAGTTTATGTATTTCATTACTTGGTCCAATCAGAGTCGTGTTTTCTGAATACTTTGTTTTAACTTTCATTAGTTATTAAAACAGACTTGGATAAATAACGTGTGACTTTTACTTTTGTTTTGTGTGTTACGCTGTGCTAACTGTATTTATTACTCACTAAAGGAAGTAACTGTATTCTGTTACAAATCATACAATAAATTACATTCAGTTTAGAGATTTCTTAAAGCAGCAGTTTGTAAAAATGTGGCCAAAAGTGGTACTGCAGCCTCTCCCACTCTCCCTGACTCAGGTTGCCAGATATGCAGACGAATCCAGATGGGACCATAACAGCTGAATAGACAAGAGTTTTGTCAACAACAAATCTATAACCAACACCTTTTTCACAAAGATAGAAATCCTGGTTTTATTCCTTGTTTTGTCGTTAATGATTTGAGAATCATAACGAGACCTTTTTTAGTTCTGTGCCACATGGTACTTTACCAGTGAGATTAGCTCCACGTGGTGAGTTCTGGCGCCCGGATCACAGACTTTCTGATTGGTGAAACGGTGGAGGGCGGGACATGGAAATGAAAACAATAAGATATAGGGGCTGGAAAATAAATTTAGAAATTCCAATATCTCTGAGCTACCTTTAATGATGACAGATTAGGGCCCTTTAATGATGACAGATTAGGGCCCTTTAATGATGACAGATTAGGGCCCTTTAATGATGACGATTAGGGCCCTTTAATGATGACAGATAAGGGCCCTTTAATGATGACAGATTAGGGCCCTTTAATGATGACAGATTAGGGCCCTTTAATGATGACAGATTAGGGCCCTTTAATGATGACAGATCAGGGCCTTTAATGATGACAGATTAGGGCCTTTAATGATGACAGATTAGGGTCCTTTAATGATGACAGATTAGGGCCTTTAATGATGACAGATTAGGGTCCTTTAATGATGACAGATTAGGGCCCTTTAATGATGACAGATAAGGGCCTTTAATGATGACTCGACATAAAAATCTTACATATTTCTACTATCTAAGAACAACTCTGAAAAGAAATGTCTATTTGTTCTTGTATTTATGTTTTATTTATATCTTTGGCCTTGACTACCGGTGTGTTGAATATTTCATAATTTATCACAAGAAACTTTGAACTATCGGACCAGTGATTGTCTGAACTTCCCAAAAACCAAACCAGCGTGACCCACACTGATGAGAGAGCGTCTTTATCGCCCTGCTCCACACACTTGGCGGCAGTTTTAATATTCTTTAAAAAGGCAGCTTCACAGAACGGAACCCCTGCTGCCGGCTGCTACAAACACTACTTATGTATCTGAGCACCTGAGTCTGCCGGCCCCCCGCCCCGCTCCCCAGTCGTAATGAGATTGGACCATTCCCAAGAGAAATGCGGGTGCCAGGTTGCTTCACGGCTTCCCCTTGTTTTATCTGTGGTTCCGGAGAGTGGGCCGGCAGCTTTAGTCATTTATTAGCTGGCTTCACCTCACCTCTCGCACACCTTATCACCAAGTGCTAGGAGCAGGTTAACACTAAACGTCTAATTGACAGAATATTTATGAGAGTGAATGTATGATGTGTCCAGGAGGTGTGGAACCGCTCGGATGACAGACAAATGGGATTTTCATGCAACATTGAAGTGAATTTTGTACCATGAGGCATTGCACACTGAGCTCCAGAGAGAGAGAGACGAAAAACAGGTGTGGGACGTGGACATTTAGGGACATTGTTGGTGTGAATCAATTTAATTTCATCTGAATTTCGTAATTGAAACTGGCAACCCAAATAATAGTTTCATCATTTTCATTGCGGAATGGTTTTTAGACCAATTTGGCCCCTGCGAGTGATCGTTCTGAAATATAGTGTTATTCAGAATTAGGACAAGTTTCCGCTCATTTAATTTGATACTTTATTTTATTTAGTTTATTAGTGTAGTTTACTGTTTTATTTCGGCCGTGAATCAACAAAACAATATCATGCAGAATAAAAAGGGTAGAAAATTTGACTATGAGAATATTACAGATTTATAAGGTACAAACATGTTTTGTTCATGTCGGATGTGGAAGACAAGTTCTTTGGACCCGGGTTTAAGGCTAAAGCTAAAACAGAGGCTAAAGCTAAATCGGAGGCTAAAGCTAAGGCTAAAAGATGGCTAAAGCTAAGACGGAAACTAAAGCTATTTATTTTTTTATTGATTTATTTGAAGGGGACAAGTGTACACAATCAACATGTGACACACTACAACATTTATAGCCAAGGCTAGTTTGCAATGTCCGTCCCTAGGAGGCTTTTAACACAATTAAAACACATTATACATTATACAAAAGCAGATAGATGTTCTCCAGCTCTTTGATGCTCACACAACTGGTTTGTTTTAAAAAATTGCTTTAGTTCATGTTTAAAACCAACCCAGTCAGAGTTCAGTTTTAGCTGAGGGCTTAAAGAGTTCCAGAGCTTTGCCCCCTGGACCGAGAAGACCGACTGTCCGAATGTGGTTCTCCTGAGGGGCACTTTCACATTCCCGTTAGAGGAGCCCCGTGTGACGGACCTCAGAGGAACTATGAGAGCACTCAGGACAGCAGGGGCTCGACTGTGCAAGACGGAGACTAGAGCTAAGACGGAGACTAGAGCTAAGACGGAGACTAGAGCTAAGACGGAGACTAGAGCTAAGACGGAGACTAGAGCTAAGACGGAGACTAGAGCTAAGACGGAGACTAGAGCTAAGACGGAGACTAGAGCTAAGACGGAGACTAGAGCTAAGACGGAGACTAGAGCTAAGACGGAGACTAAAGCTAAAACATGGTTAAATATCCGCTCTGGCTGAATTCTTCCCTCTCCCATCTTCATTTTTATGCTCAAGTCGCAGATGTCTTCATTGCCCAGTCGCGTGGGGAGCCGGGGTGCTTTGGGTGGTTCAAGTCATTAAAACATTAAAAAACACACAACATGCATAAAAAGTCTAAAAACACATTAAGCAAACATTAAAATCCCCGCACCCACACATACATTTATTTTATTACCGCTTGAAGTAAGATTTGACGTTTTGTACAGAGCGTGGAATGAGCTGCATTCATATACTGCATACCGTACACAACATCAGGGATTTACAGATTATTTTTACCATTTTAAAACAGACAAACCAGCAAACATGTGCGTTCATAGTCACAGCCAGGCCCTTGATGGTTGCCAGACGTGCTCTTTCTCGTGCTGCTCCAACAGACCCGGTGTAGTGGGCTCCCGGTCGAGCTTCCAGAGCTGGATCCTGCCTGCGCCGCTGGGCTTCGAGGCGGAGGTGGGATTGGGGCTTTGGTGAGACCCCAGAGGAGGCGTTAATCAAATTTCACACTGTCCAACACTCGAGCATATCCCACCGCTCAGATTCTCCTCACAAACTCCCATCGCACGCCAAAGCTGTTTATCTTCTCAGAGAGCATGTTTCAAACGCATCTTTCCCACAGCGGCGGCAGCGAGAGCCACAGCATCTGTCCGTTACCAACATGTATTTACTTTTATGTGTCATCGATGCCAGGTTTTTGGGAACACACACTCAGGGAAGCATTACACAGGAGTTTAAAATGAAGGAAAATGAACAGAAGGACAATAATCGATCACAATATGAAATCACATGTCATGATTTAGATCCATTTACCATTGACTCAGGTTACTTGCCCATTTGGTGGATTACTTTTCCAGTCACTATTTCTACTTGAAGCTTGGTTGGAACTGAAATCTACCTCTTCTACCGTCAAACTGCATCACAACCATTTGGTAAAGGCATATGAATATAACACAGTAATATAAAAAAAAACTTAAAAACATTGGGCCTCATTCACGAACGGTTCTTAGGAACAGATTTGTACGTAAATCCTACTTACGCGGTTTTTACGAAGAAAGTGGCATTCACGAATATTTCTCGTAACCAGAATTTCTCTTGGGCAAGTACAAATCCTACGAGTCCTCAGGAGCACTCGTACGCATTCAGTGCCGACATGTTCACACGCGGGGGTTGTCCTCTTTGGTGAAGTTGAATAAAAATACAACATTCCAGTGATATGTCCGTCATATCGATGTATGTATTTATTTATTTGTAGTAATCTTTATTAGTAATCTTTATTTATATACCGCCTTTTTCACTGCAGATCTGGCCTACTTTTTAATTCATTTTGAAATGAAATGTGCCAACGCTTTATCAAATACATTGGAAATCTTGCCGTGTATTAGTGACCCCTTCCTATTTATAGGGGGCATTTCTTTATCCACGGGCCACAGAACAACGGCATATATACTGCTGCTGCAGGAGGTTACTGGGTCCGCGCTGAGTCTCTGCGCTGGTCTCTCCTATGGATCTATACGGGTCTGCACTGGTCTCTCCCATATATGGGTCTGCACTAGTCTCTCCCATGGATCTATACTGGTCTGCACTGGTCTCTCCATACGGATCCGCGCTGGTCTCTCAAGTCTGGTCTATGCGGTCTCTCTTCGGTCCGCGCTGGTCTCTGCGCACCGGTCTCTCCAGTCAGGTCACTACAGTCTATGCGGTCTCTCCAGTCAGGTCACTCCAGTCTATGCGGTCTCTCCTATAGGTCCGCGCTGGTTTCTGTGTGCTGGTCACTCCAGTCTCTCCTCGGGTCTGCATTGGTCTCAGCGCTGGTCCGCGCTGGATCTCCTCCCAGGGTCCAAAATATTTTGAGATTTAATCTCAAAACATTTTGAGATTCATCTTTAAAATAATACATAATATATTTTTAAATTAAGCTCATAACATTTTGAGATTAATCTCATCATATTCTTAGATTAATCTCATAATTTTGCTAGTTCGACTTTATTATCATAATATTTCGACTTTTAAGTCAACATTTTATAACTTTATTCTCAGTCTGGTAAAAGAAGAAAAAAGGGTGACTCTTTTGCTCCGTGTAACTCTTTGCTTTAGGCCTGTTGCTGTTTCCTCTGCCGTCTGCACACGGCCCTGCAGTCCCTTATATGGGCATTAGTGGGCGGTTACTTATGCTAAGTACCTATGCTAATGAAGCACCTGGCACGCGCTGTACTTACGAGGAGTTGGCATTCATCAATCTGAGAGAACAGCTGCGAACAATTCAGCGGCTTACGAGTGCGTTGATGAATCCCACGTAGGGTCTTCTTAGAAATCGACTTAAGGACAACTTGAGAAGAAAGTTGAGTAGTTTCTTACGAAGTTATTCGTGAATGAGGCCCATTGTTTTTTGTTTGGTATTAGTGGTCCTACATCTTAGACAATCTGAAAAATAAAACATTTAGATTGCTTTATTTATTGAACATTGAAGAGATAAAGATAAGAGATACTTTTATTCTTGACTCAGGTTGCCAGATATGCAGACGAATCCAGCTGGGACCATAACAGCTGAATAGACAAGAGTTTTGTCAACAACAAATCTATAACCAACACCTTTTTCACAAAGATAGAAATCCTGGTTTTATTCCTTGTTTTGTCGTTAATGATTTGAGAATCATAACGAGACCTTTTTTAGTTCTGCGCCACATGGTACTTTACCAGTGAGATTAGCTCCACACGGTGAGTCTGGCGCCCGGATCAGACTTTCTGATTGGTGATACGGTGGAGGACGGGACATCGAAATGAAAACAATAACAAGATTTAGAGGCTGGAAAAGTAATTTAGACATTCAAATATCTCTGAACTACTGTTATCAGTTAAAGACGTTTTGGAAAAGAGCAGTTTATTATTATGACAGATTAGGGCCCTTCAATGATGACAGATTAGAGCCCTTCAATGATGACAGATTAGAGCCCTTCAATGATGACAGATTAGGGCCCTTTAACGATGACAGATTAGGGCTCTTTAATTATGAAAGATTAGGGCCCTTTAACGATGACAGATTAAGGCCCTTTAACGATGACAGATTAGGGCCTTTTAACGATGACAGATTAGGGCCCTTTAACGATGACAGATTAGGGCCCTTTAATTATGAAAGATTAGGGCCCTTTATTAACGATGACAGATTAGGGCCCTTTAACGATGACAGATTAGGGCCCTTTAACGATGACAGATTAGGGCCCTTTAATTATGAAAGATTAGGGCCCTTTAACGATGACAGATTAAGGCCCTTTAACGATGACAGATTAAGGCCCTTTAACGATGACAGATTAAGGCCCTTTAACGATGACAGATATACAGTAAAACTACCATCTCACCGGGACAGTACATGTTACACAGCTCTCTTCCTGGTTGTGTTGATGGTGGATCTCATCACGGTGCTCTTCCTGGTTGTGTTGATGGTAAATCTCCTCACGGTACTCTTCCTGGTTGTGTTGATGGTACGTGTGCAGGGTTAAAGGGTAACACAGTTGGTCTGATGTCCCGCTGCAGGCTGTGGCTCTCTAATGCGCTGTTGTTAATGAACGCAGTGTTTGGCTCCAGGCTCTTGTTGGGAGCAGCGGCGCATTGGCTCGGATCCCTGCGGTGAACTCTTTGGTGAGGAAGAGGAGATGAGTGTGTCCAGGGGCGACCCATTCATCTCCTCGGTCGTGGCTATCTCCCGCACAGTCAGACCAGCTCCAGGCAGGGGTTTATTATTGCTGTAAAAACTGCCATTATTGCTATAAACACATGCGTTTTGGAGAAGAGTGTATTCTGTGGGTGTAATTGTGGAGCTGAAGGTGCAGGGGCTTGATGCAACATGACTTAATTTATGCCCACTCCCAGATGACGCAAAGACAATGTAATGCGTGGTTTTGATCTCCGGCGCTTTGTTCCGGACTTCAATGACCACATCACATTCGCTCGTGCAGAGTTCGCAACAAAAACACAAGTTTGAGAGGGTTTTAAATGAAAAAAACCCCGAGAAAATACTCAATAAAACCAAATAATTAGTTATATTACTAGTTCTATGGACTTATTTATGGATACATGTATTTACATATGACACGCAATGGTGAGAATATGCCATGTGACTTGGGTGGCACCCCCCGACCCAGAAATGGATTAAGGGGTTGAAGAAAGATGGATGGATGTGAGAATAGGTACTCAGGAATATACACATTTACAGTTTAAAATACAGAGAAAATAGCTATGGATTAAACTATTATTTTCCACAAAAAATCAGTGACAACATATACTGTACCTGTATCAGTAAAGCACGATTCAAGGAAGAGAGCGCCACTATTTTCCCGTCACCCACAATTTTCCTTCATGCATAGAATCTAAAATACTAAAACTATACATATCGGCACCAAACCTGACCTCACGGCACGACTGATGAAGAGCTCCCTCCTCGTCTCCCGCTCACGCACTCAGGAGAGCGGCCTCATAACCATTGCAGGCGACACTTTGTGATGCCCTTGTGTGCAATCTGCCGGAGCTGACACTAAAAGTCCTCATAGATCAAGTGACAAACACATACAGCGGCAGCAGCTCCCGTGCTCCGCTCTCTCAAAGGCGCGCTGATTAGATTAGAAAACCCCACAGTTAAGACACTAAGGCGTCCAATTAGGCCCTATTTGTTCGGCAGTTGAACAGAGTTGGACTAATAATGCCTACGGAAGGACTAAACGACAACGTCCGCCCATTAATGCATCAATTTAAAGGAGCTGGACCCGTTTCTGCAGATTTTTTCCAGTTTGAATGTTTAGCCCCGCCCCCAACTCGCTCACAGGCTTCTCATTTCCCCCACGCTCTCCTCCCACGGAACCATCTAGTTTTATTTGCAATGTGATACACATGCTAACATTAGCATTAGCACAACTTAAGCTGTACAACAATCACTGATGAAATGGTACTAAAGCAAGAGTAGATAGTCCGAGCGTGGATAGTCCGAGCGTAGATAGTCCGGGCGCAGATAGTCCGAGCGTAGATAGTCCGAGCGTAGATGGTCCGAGCGTAGATAGTCCGAGCGTAGATAGTCCGAGCGTGGATAGTCCGAGCGTAGATAGTCCGGGCGCAGATAGTCCGAGCGTAGATAGTCCGAGCGTAGATGGTCCGAGCGTAGATAGTCCGAGCGTAGATAGTCCGAGCGTAGATAGTCCGAGCGTGGATAGTCCGAGCGTAGATAGTCCGGGCGCAGATAGTCCGAGCGTAGATGGTCCGAGCGTAGATGGTCCGAGCGTAGATAGTCCGAGCGTAGATAGTCCGAGCGTAGATAGTCCGAGGAGCGTAGATAGTCCGAGGAGCGTAGATAGTCCGAGGAGCGTAGATAGTCCGAGGAGCATAGATAGTCCGAGCGTAGATAGTCCGAGCGTAGATAGTCCGAGCGTAGATAGTCCGAGGAGCGTAGATAGTCCGAGCGTAGATGGTCCGAGCGTAGATAGTCCGAGCGTAGATAGTCCGAGGAGCGTAGATAGTCCCGAGGAGCGTAGATAGTCCGAGGAGCGTAGATAGTCCGAGGAGCGTAGATAGTCCGAGGAGCGTAGATAGTCCGAGCGTAGATAGTCCGAGCGTAGATAGTCCGAGCGTAGATAGTCCGAGGAGCATAGATAGTCCGAGCGTAGATGGTCCGAGCGTAGATAGTCCGAGCGTAGATAGTCCGAGCGTAGATGGTCCGAGCATAGATAGTCCGAGGAGCATAGATGGTCCGAGCGTAGATAGTCCGATCGTAGATAGTCCGAGCGTAGATAGTTCGAGCGTAGATGGTCCGAGCGTAGATGGTCCGAGTGTAGATAGTCCGAGCGTAGATAGTCCGAGCGTAGATAGTCCGAGCGTAGATAGTCCGAGCGTAGATAGTCCGAGCGTAGATAGTCCGAGCGTAGATAGTCCGAGCGCAGATAGTCCGAGCGCAGATAGTCCGAGCGCAGATAGTCCGAGCGCAGATAGTCCGAGCGTAGATAGTCCGAGCGTAGATAGTCCGAGGCGGTCCCGCAGGTCTCTCCCATAGACCAGTCTCTCCAGAGGATACGATGTAAGCTAGCTCTGTTCAGGGCTTGGTTTCTTCTTTGATCATGTTGTGGCTTTAGTTCCCTCTTCTCTTCCTCACTGTTGTGTGGTTTGGGCTGTTTTGCTGTGTCTGCAGTTACAGCCAGAGGAGTTATAGCCACTTATGCTAACATGCTACTGTGTTTAGCAGCGCTGTAGAGGCTAGAGGACGCAGCCTCGTTCTGTGATTGGAGGAGAGCGGGCGTCACGCTAAGTCTCTACTCAGCACTTTTTACGCCTGAATTCATACACAGCTGAATCAATGAGCTCAAGTTTTACATTAAATTACGGATTTCAATACAACTTGTATGTAGTAATAAGCATTTTTATGAACTAATTAGAAAATAAATCGGATATAGCTTCTTTAACACTCTTTTACACATGCTTTTAAAGGGCTTTATTCAGTGCATTTTGAGATCTTATGCAATCACTGTCTTCCATCCGCCATGTTGTTCCCCCTTTGAAATCCGCCCAGCGTGCACGATCGTAGCCCCTGCAGGACTGTTCTGGAAACTGTACATTTCACAGGGAGTTCGTTCCCAGATCTAGCACACAACAATAGACTTCTGATGGTAGCACTCTGACTTTGTGCCTACAGCCAAACCCCCGCCGTCCTCACTGCCGCTCCCCCACCCGTCTGCACAAAGCACTGACGCACATTTGGCACCGGGCATACGCTGAAATGCCAACTACCCAGGGCACTAGCTTCTATTGAGGACACGGAGGGTTTGACCTCTGCATTTGCTGCAAAGGCTGAATGCATGGAGATATCATGCTCTGTGTTATTTACCACCGGGAAATCATATCAGCTGTAACTTTTGTACTCGTTTACACACCCAGGCAGAAAAATCATAGTTTTGTAGATTATTATGGAGATTATGAAAGACCAATCCCAAAACTGTTGATTGTGTCAAGCCGGTGATTGTCATTTAACATGCATACTTTCTATTTAACAATTCTAACATCATAAAGCAGATTGTGGTAGAGCTTCAAAAGGGTAGTTCATGCAAAGCGGCCAGGGAATTTATGACGTCAGTCCTTTATTCGACGCACAGTGGGGAAGTTTCAGTTCAATTGATACAAATGTACATTTCTGCTGGAGATAGTTCTGTGGAGGCGGACAGATGGCATGATCTTCTGTGCTGAAAAAACCTTTGAGGAGTAGTTTACAGTGGCCTTGTAGTAATAATAGTCATAATAATAATAATGCATTGTTTTTTTTATAGTAGTAGTAGAAGTAAGTAGTAGTAATCTTTTTTTATATAGCGCCTTTCACAGACCAGAATCACAAAGCGGTTTACAATTGTGGGCATTTGTCTCTCACTCCACACAGGGATGGGAGGGGCCCACTGTATGTACATGTTTTAAGTGGTGGGGAAAACCGGAGTGCCCGGAGGAAACCTACGCAGACACGGGGAGAACCTGCAAACTCCACTCAGAATGGCCCTGAGTGTTATCCAGCCAGCCACAGCGCTTTTCAGAACTTTCAAAGGACGCTGCACATGTCATCATTCATTCACTCTACAGACGGTGGTGATAAACTGCTACTGTAGCCACATCTGCCCTGGGGCACACTGACAGACGCGTAGCAACTAGTCTGTGCCATTGGCTCCTCCCACCACCACCAACCACTCAAACACACTCCACACTCATACTAATGTGAGTGAAGTGTCTTGCCTAAGGACACAACCACAGTTTAGCACTTCACAGTCGTTCCACTCTTGCACCTGCAGTTCCCAGAGGTCTCCCATCACAGCACTAACCTGGCCCTTCCCCGCTCAGCTTCAGAGGTCTGACAAGATCTGGATCCTCTGTGCTGTGGACCACATTAGTGCGAAAGCTGCAGCCCGTACAACATGTCATACAAACCCAACATTCTGACATTTTCCACCGGCTGCAGCTGAACAATTAGGGCTGTGGGTCCAGTGTGTGATCTTTGAGGAGATTGAAATGTCACGATGCTGAGCTAATAACAGACAGCGGCTATTTCCAAAAGAACACGACACGGCGGCCAGCTCCTTTTGTACTTGCAGATTCTACAAAGCAGCGGTTGTTATGGATTGTTTGGCACTCGCTGACCTTCAAGACTACTTAGACGAGGAAAGGTAGCAGTTGAAAGGAAGGACGTCTCATTTTGTGCCCCGGCCCTTTCTGTCTTTGGCGCTACCAGGATACGCTCCTTGATATTCTCTTCTTTTCCCTCCGTTTCATGGAAAGGTGAGGCCAACAAATCAGGCCCGCCATCAATGAACTGGAACATTACTAAAGATCACCCACAATGCCTTGCTCAGAATACTTATGAGGGGCAGTAGAGGCGCAAGTGGGAAAGAGGGTTTCAGCTGCGACTTGTTTACATTACAATACATTTACGACTGTCAATTGTGTTTTAAATTCTCTTATGCATGGATACAAGAAACATTACATATGGTTTGCAGACGTACTGTATGTTTTTATGATATGGGGGTGGGGGGTGGTAGTCAGAGCTATACCCGGTCCACAGAGCACCAGCCTCTCTCTGATCCTCCTGCAGGTGCTGAGTCCAAAGGAGTCTCGATCTTGCAGTGGGGGCTTCAGGCAAAGGGGTTAAGTGTCTTGCCCATGGACAG